AAGAAAGCCAAGGATTCTCTCCCTGCACCCCCAACATGATGAAAAACCCCTTCCTTCAATTTATTCTGCATACTACAGATAGGTGTTTCTAAAATGCAAATCCAATCATCACTGCCCACTTGAAGCCCCACTTAAAATGTGTTGAATGTCTCAATTCCCACTGAATTTTGCTTCCTATCTAATTGAGCCCCCATCCTCACCAGTTTCTATTATTCAAGCTCAGACCAAGTTTCTCTTCCTCGGGGAAGCCTTCATTCACCTCAGGCCTTGGCAGCTATTGCCAATGTCAGCTTCCTCCACCGAACACAAGTACAGAGGTCCTTTCCCTTTTGATTACTATTTCCCCTTCTGGGATAGCTGGCAAGAGTTAATAACAGGAAAGGGCACCTGGCTGGCTCAGTGGGAAGAGCATGCGACTTTTGATCTCTAGGTTGTGCGTTTGAGCCTAGAGATTACTAAAATTAATAAATAAACTTAAAAAAATTAATAAAAGGACAAGTGTAAGGGGTAGGGACTGCTGGGGTCTGTGGCCAACCAGATCTGTAGCTAGGCCGTGTGTCCCTGGACAAGAAAAGTTCAACCTTCCCAACCTCGGTTTTCTCATCAGAAAATAGTGACTAAAATACCCACCTCCGAGATGTTGAGAGAATCGGACCTAAGGTATGCAAAGTACTGTTCCTAGCACTTCAAGGTGAGCTATTCTTATTCTAATTACTCATAAAGAGAAGCTGCTTCCAAGCAGCACGTAAAATTCTCCGAGTACTGTCCATGGTATGAGGTTTCCGGGTTGCTAACTGGGCAGCCCGGAAAGCCGTCCTTTTGTACTCCTGAGGCGCGCCAAGCCCCCTGTCTTCTCAGGGTGGTGCTGACACCTTCTTCCCAGACCGCCCCCTTCCTGGGTGCCAGAAAGCGCAGACAGCGCAGCATCAGTGACCTGTTTCTCCCCGCGAACCCACAACACACACCTTATCCTCTAGCCTGGATTCCCAGCTCCATCCACCGGCCCCTTCAGTCTTAGGGAGCTGCTCATCAGCGCCACCCGCGAGTCTGTCCCGGTCGCCCGCAGAACGTCTGGGGCTGGCGGGATTCGGCGGGTCCCCAGCCCACGTGCTCCCGACCTCCGCCGCAAGGCGCCGCCCTCCCGCTAGGCGCAATGCGGACTACGTTTCCCAGGGTGCACAGCGGCGGGGCCTTGGCTCAGCGGGGGCCTCGAGCGGCGCGCCGCGCCGTCGCCTGCTCCGGGGGCGCGCGGGCCGGCGCGAGGACAGGGCCAGGGACCCGGAATGAGTTTCCGCGCAGTTCCGCTGTGCCTGGCCGGGCTGTGCCGGGCCGGGCCGGGCCAGGGCAGGCGCGGGGGCAGGGCGGCGCCGGAGTCGGCGGTGCCGGGGACAGGCGCTCGGGGCAGCCCGCGCCTCGCTGAGGTCCCCGCCCCGTCCCGGCCGGGCCGGCTCGTCTGTCAGTCACTGGGGCGGCGGCAGCGGCAGTAGCGGGGCCGGAGCCGGGCGGTGAGAAGAGCGCGGGCCAGGCCGGCCGGAGGGGATCTGCCACAGCCCCTCAACTCTACGGACTCTTCACCCCAGACTCGCGAAGCTGCACCCCTGCGCCTCGTCGGACGCCTCCGTAACCCGCGAAGGGCTCTCTCCCTCGTCACCCCCCACCCCGTGACCTCCTCGTAGGACCCGAGAGCGCACTCAGACCAGGGTGTTGTGGGTACAGGCCATCGACCCTGTGACCTCTCACGGGCCAGGGGCTCGGTTTCCCCCACAGGCCTGCCTTCCCTGTGACTCCCTCCTCAGAGAGTCTGGGGACAGAGCCGTGACCTACCACCAGGACCCCCGCCTGTGAACTCTTCACTGACGGCTCCCTCCTCAGAGTCCCCCTCAGTTGGTCTCCTCCTAAGAGCACTCCTTTTGGCCTCTGGCAAGCCCCCCATCCCCATCCGAGGTGGGGAGGCCTCGGCAGCCATGCCCGCCCTGGGCCCCCTGTCACCCCACTGCTCCCTGGGCACCCAAGCTGGGGTCTAGCACGGGGCCAGCAGCCAAGGGGCTGGGGCAGGAGACAGGTCAGGGTCCACCTCCCTGCTGGGGAGGGAGCAAAGATGGAGCGGCGGGAGGAGCAGCCTGGGGCTGCAGGGGCTGGAGCAGCACCAGCCTTGGACTTCACTGTGGAGAACGTGGAGAAGGTATGAGGGCCCGGGGGTGGGCATACCGGTGACAGAGCAGAAGTTCTGGGGACTGACATTAATGCCAGAGCCCAGGCCTGGGCTGGGTGCCTGCTGGGATGGTGCCCCCAGAGCACCTGGCATTTGCTGTCTCTCTGGGCAGGCGTGGACAGCAGTGTTATGGTGTCCTAATGGGCTATTTTTGGCTTTCCTTAGACATGGGTTCTCTTTGGATACTCTAGGGTCTTGGGCTGGTCCCTTCAGGGTGCTGATAGCCTAGACCTCCGGCCGGATTGGCTATTCTCCAGCTCCGTGGGTACTGCATGAGCAGTGCAGTAAGAAACCAGGAATCCAGGAGACCTACAGCTCAGCCCTCGGGAACCATACCGATGCTGAGCCATGCTGGACCTGTTTTGTGACCCAGGGGCTCAGAAAATAACCTGGAACTGAAACAGTCTGGGTTATGTTTTCACTCTTTCTTAGGGAAGGATCCTTCTTGTATTGGATGGAGGCCAGACAAGTCCCGAGCAGGCAGGAAGGGCTAACCCCCTCTCTTTGGTAATGGATCTAAGGGATCCGGTCCTGCTGCCAGCCGCAGGATCCTTCTCTGCTCACCTGTCCACATAGCTTCCTGCCATGGTCTTCCCAGGCTCTCCCACTGCCCAGCCCATCTTTTTTGAACTGCTTCTCTGGTTCTTTTCTGGGTTCTGCCCCTGAGGCCTGGGATGCAGAAATGCCTCCCTGCTGGGTTGAATGGGGAGATGGGAAGCAAGGAATGGTTGCAGATACTCATTTGTTATTTTTGAGCCCCTTTTGCCATACCAAATGGTGAAAATCCATCCCTACTGCTTCTTTGCCTGCTGAACTCAGCATCCCTGAGGAGCCAAAAAGGGACTGTAAATATAAGCTGCTGTCAGAGGTACAAATAGGGCTAAGTCTACTTGGATGGAGCTTGCTTAGGGGGTCAGAGTCCTGACCTCACCCTTCCACCCCCTGGGGCTGGGTGCTGTTGGCATGGTGGCACACTCTTCCATGTGCAACCAGGGAGACAAACCACTGTTTTCTTACTGTGTGAAGTCCCTGTGGAATTGGGACCCTGGGGATTTGGCGAGTTGAGAGCTCCAGGCAAGGCATTTGCCAGGGCTGCCAGCCAAGACTTCTTGACCAGCTTTTTGGACCCTCACATGCGCTCTCTGGGGGGTGTTCTCACCCTCCCCTCCAGTATGCCTCTGGCCTAAGGCTGCCTGGCAAAGCCTTAGTCGTGCTCAGATTTCACAATGGCTTTGGTGCCAGCATCTGGAGTGACCGAGGGATGATCCTGGGGGAGCTGAATAGAACCTTTGGAGTTGATGGGACCAGCTGTGCCTGGGAGGGTCAGGGCCCTTCAGGCTGTTCCATGCTCTTCTCAGGCTTAGCTTTATCCCTGTGGAGCCATTCCTTCAACCTGGGCCTTGTCCTTTACCTCAAATGCCTCCCCTTTGGGGAGCTCAGCCTCTTTCTGCTTTCCTGTGGAGGTTCACTTTCTGAACCCCTAATGTTTGGCTATAATGACAACATGGTAGAGCATGGGCAGAGTTCAGGCTCTCCGGGTATCAGTAGGATCCTCGGCTCAGGAAACAGTGAGCTCTACCTGCTCAGCCCCTCAGTCAGAAAGAGAGAGCAGATTTGCAAGACCAAGTTCTGGGCTCTGACAGGATCCAGAGTGGCCAACACCTGCTCAGTCCTGTGCTGTCCTGCAGGCGCTGCACCAGCTCTACTACGATCCCAACATTGAGAACAAGAACCTGGCTCAGAAGTGGCTGATGCAGGCCCAGGTCTCCCCACAGGCCTGGCACTTCAGCTGGCAGCTACTGCAGCCCGACAAGGTGCCTGAGATCCAGTACTTTGGGGCCAGTGCCCTGCACATCAAGATCTCTCGCTACTGGAGTGACATCCCCACTGACCAGTATGAAAGTCTAAAGGCACAGCTCTTCACCCAGATCACCCACTTTGCTAGTGGCTCCAAGATCGTGCTGACTCGGCTGTGCGTGGCACTGGCCTCCCTGGCTCTCAGCATGATGCCTGATGCTTGGCCATGTGCTGTGGCAGATATGGTACGGCTCTTCCAGGCTGAGGACTCACCGGTGGATGGTCAGGGCCGCTGCCTGGCCCTACTAGAGCTGCTGACAGTGCTGCCTGAGGAGTTCCAGACGAGCCGCCTGCCCCAGTATCGCAAAGGCCTGGTGCGGGCCAGCCTGGCAGTGGAGTGCGGGGCTGTCTTCCCGTTGCTAGAGCAGCTGCTACAGCAGCCCAGCTCACCCAGCTGTGTGCGTCAGAAGGTGCTCAAGTGCTTTTCCAGCTGGGTGCAGCTGGAGGTGCCACTGCAGGACTGTGAGGCGCTTATTCAGGCTGCCTTTGCTGCTCTGCAGGACTCGGAGCTCTTCGACAGCAGTGTGGAGGCCATTGTCAATGCCATTTCACAGCCTGATGCCCAGAGGTGAGCTGGTCCCCATCTTCCCAGAAAAGAACAGTTTGGTTGGCCTTCCATCTATCTGTTCAATAAACACGAATTGAGTGCCTACTGCATACCTGGTCCTATGCTGGAGATACACAAGGAGGCAAACAAGACATGGTCCTTGTCCTTATGGTTCAGAGAGGGAGACACAACTAATCATCCAACAGATTATTCAGTTAAAATATTTGACTCTTTCTTCTCTTTCTCTCAACCAATCAGTCACCATGTCCTGGCTGTTCTGCTCCTGACCATACTGCAAATCTATTTTTCCCATCTCCACTGCCACCACCCTAGTCCGAGCTGTCATCATCTCTGTCCCCAAATGATTGCAGAGATTTTTCACTAGTCCCCTGGTTTTTACTCCTGTACCTGTATTGTCCACCGAGCAGCTAGAGTGATCTTTTGAAAAGGAGGATCCAATTTGTCCTTTCTGCTCAGAACCCTTCAGTGGCTTTTCGCAGCTCTTAGGATAAAGTTCAGAATCCTTAACGTGATCCACAAGGTGCTGCACAGAATGGCATCTCTAACCTCTTCTCATGTCATGCTCCTTTCTCCACTCTCCTACAGTCTTTTCAGTTGCTTGAATGTTCCATGCTCCTTCTAGCTTCTGAACCATCACAGGTGCTTGGCACATCATCTCTACCTCAACTGAAATTTCATTATCTTAGGAAAGCCCTCAATGATTTTTAAGACTAAGTTTGGTCTACTCTATTATTGTATCTCAGAGCTTCTAGTGTTTTTCCTTCTTAGCCTGTAACACAGTTTCATCATAAATTAATGTATGTCTCCTCATTGGTCTCTCAGCTCTGTGAGGACAGACACTGAATCATTTTATTTTGTCACATTGTGCCTGGCAGCATTTGGTAGCATTCGGTGTTTTTTGAACAGATGAAAAGTAGGAGTTGCCTGAGAGGTGGGAGCAGGGTGGGGGAGTTCAGGGGAAGAGGGAGCGCTCCAGGCTTCAGGAACTATAGCAGGGGCAAAGGCCCCTGGTGCACAGCACCATAGTACCTTTAAGGACTTGAAGGAAGGTGAGTGTAGCGAGGTGTTTGTGCAGCAAATGTTTGTTGCGTGCCTCTTTGTGTCTTGGGTCCTGTGCTGAGCACCAGGTACATAAAGATGAATGGGTTGACTTCAGCAAGCCAGGAGCTCACAGTCTAACAGACACATGGAGGGGCAAGTGTGGTCAACGAGATGAACGCTATGATAGAGAAAATGGTGGGGGGACTGTAAGAGCCCAGAGGAGGCATTTAACCTGGTCTTAGGACTGTGAAAGGCTTCCCAGAGGAAGTGTGCTTTAAAGAGCCTTAGCAAAGAAAGGGTGTTGAGAAAGCCTGGTGAGTGGTGGTGATTAAACAGCAGGATTTAAGGGCCAGTTGTGGGAGGTCTGGGCCCAGATTATGTAAGACTTTTGTCAGCCAGGCTTAAGATTTTGGTCTTCATCCTGAGGATGATGTAAAGATATTAAAGGATTTCAAGTAGAGAAAATGCCATAATGAGATGTTTGGTATAAGTTGGATTGGCCATGGCAAGACTGGAGACACTAACACTTCAGAGGTAGGGCTTTAGAAACCCTTAGCAGACTTGGAGGGGAAAAACATTGAAAGAGATGGCATCAGAGAGTGGTTAATGGCTCTAGCCTTGGCATTAGTCATGTCTGAGTTTGAATCCCAGATGGTCTGTTTACTAGGTCCGATACCTTGGATAAGTCGCTTTTAAGCCTCAGTTTCCTCATCAGTAGAATGGGTGTGATCATATTAACCTGAGAGAGTTGTAAAGGCTTAAATAGGCCAATGTGCACAGGGTCTGCCCCTGGTATTCTATAAAGGATATTTTGATATTAATAGGATTAAAGAAGAAAATGTCTATGAAAGGTTTAGCCTGGTTCTTGCACGCCCCATAAAAGGCAGTTGTTAGTATTTGGTATCGTTTTGCATTGGCAGTTAGTGTATCTTTCCCATGGTTTCCCAGGTTTTCCAACTCAAGGTGGGTATCAAGTCCCAGGACTAGCCTTTCTTGGCAGCTTGAAGCTCGAGTGCCGGCTGCACTCAGACGGTTGGTAGCTAAAGGGAATTGGCCAGGGCCAGTGCATGGGTGATGTGGGGTGTCCTTGGATACACCCAGGTTTACTCGCCCAGCCGGTCTCGAGGGCTTTGGCAGGTAATTGATGCCTCTTCTCTTCTGAACGAATGAGCGAACAAGGAGCCAGTGAGGGAACCCACAGCCTCCTGAGCGCCCATTGGCTGCAGCCCCCATGGTTGCTTAGCAACTCTCCCCATTTTCTCAGCTCTCCTCCCTGAGCTCTAATTGCAGGTCTGGGCTGAGCTCAGTGTGAGTGGCAGCCAGCAAGTCCCAGCAGCCCTGCCCCGGCAGCTTGAGCTGACCAGCAGAACTAGGCCTCTTGAACCCAGTCTCAGCCATGGGCTTAAAGACATCTTCTCTATCTCCCTCTCCCAAACCTAGAAACCTCTGGAAGCCTCAGACCTGCTCTTCTGTGTGCATAGTTCTCAGGAATAGGTGCCCAGGTGGTGGGAAATCTAAACAAGGGTTTCCCCCACCGGGGTGCTGCACCAGCCTAGTGTCAGAGTTTGGGTCTTGCTCTGTCTAGTCTAGCTTCCTAGACTTTGGCTTGAGAAAGTCACCTGTGGTTTTGCCTCTTGGGTTATCCAGCCACTGCCTTTCCCAGGTGTCCTAATATTGGCTGTCCCCTTGGCTGAGCTTGCACTCAGGTCCCCTCTTTCCCACTCTTCCACAGCTGCTGCTGCTTGCCTGACTCTCTCTCCCTCAATTTTCTTTTTCCTGAAATATGTTTTTAGTCCTGGAAAAGCTTTCACTGGGGGCTGGGGGAGGAGAGAAGGTGAATTAGACAAGTTCTTGGGGGCTCCCATCAGTTAGAATTTGAGATATGGGCTGAGATTTGCATAGATCCTTTGGGGAAAATTCAGGTAGGGCTCTGAAAGAGCAGTCCTGCAGCAGAAGAGGCTACCTCAGCCTGGAATTTGTCTCAAAGTTGCTATATGACCTTGAGTTATACTCTGAGCCCTTCTGGACTTGTCTGTGACTTAGCCTATTATGCAGCTCAAATGTGACCAATTAAGAACTCAGTGAAGATTGAGTACCTGCTGTGTACATGAACTTTGGCAGGTGTGAGGGAGCCTTGGTGGGGACGCTTTGGGGACAGGGCGCTATCTCCTGCCCCCATCTCAGCTGCTGGTAAGCTCGCATGCCATGACTTTGGCCCTGTCCCTGCTCTCTGTGCCAGAGTCTGGCCTGAAGGTGCCCATTGTCTGGTGGTGCAGCCTGTGTCAGGGTCATGAGACTGAAGCTATCCCAGCTGTTGCCAGGCAGAGCCCTCTAGGGCTGTCTCTGGGTTGGGAGTATCCTGGTATGGATACCTTGTCCAACCAGAATGAGGATTTGGAGAAAGCTGACATCTGGGCTGGTTGCCCCTTGTTTTCATCTTACCCCTGAGGTTATGAGACTACGGGCCTAGCAGCCTGCTTAGGGCAAATGCAAATAGAACTCCTCTGGACTTTCAACCTCCTACCTCTCCATAGATGGCTATGGTGACACTTTGATTGGTAGCAGAGGGGTCTCAAGCATCTGATTCCCTCTGAGAGTATCACTTCATGCGATTAGTCTGATCTCCACAGCAGGCTGCTGGGGAGGGGTCCAGTGAGATAGAGCTAGCATTCTCAGTCTCCTTTGTATACTGTGTGTCCCCTGCTCCCCTTTAAGGATCATTGTGCTTCAGGACTCTGACTTGCACCTTCTTTTCTCTCATTCACCGCTTTCTTCCTGGGCAATGCTCATCTACTCCCATAGCTTCAGTTACCAGCTGTTTGCTGATGACTATGTCTCTTGCTCTAACTTCTCCCTTGGGCTTCAGGTTTTTATATCCAACTCTCTGGACACTTCTGTTTGCATATCTCACCTCAACACTGAACTTATCGCCTTCTGGCCTCCCATTAAATTTATTACTATTCCCCTCTACCCACCCCTCCTGGCCTCAGTAAATAGCTCCACCATCTACTTAGTTGTTTAGTCAATAACGTGAGAGTTGTCCTTGACTCTTCCCCATTGTCATATTCAATCAGTCATCAAGTCCTGTCCATTTTTCCTCTTAGCTATCTCCTAGTTCATCATCTATTGCTGTCCCTTCATACTGCCACCAGAGTACATAGGAATTAGGATCTGGTGGTAGGGAGTGGAATGGAAGGTGGGGACTGATGCTGTCGGTGCCTTCCGAAGTCTTTATCAGGGCTCCTGAGCCTGTATTAACTCCTCTGTCACTCATCCTGTTCAGTCTCCCGTAACACTGTCTATATTAGTTTTCTGGAGGGGCTGTAATAAAGTACCTCACACTGCGCAGCTTTAAACAACAGAAATCTATTGTCTCATAGTTGCAGAGGCTGGGGGTCCAAAATCAAGGTGTCGGTTTCGTCTAAAAACCCGGAGGAGAATCCTTCCTCACCTCTTCCTAGCTTCTGTTTGTTTGCTGGCAATCTGTGGTGGTCCTTGGCTTTAAGTTGCATGACTCCAATCTCTGCCTTTGTCATCACATGTCATTCTCCCTATGAGCCTCTGTCTTCACATGGTTGTCTTATAAGGACATCCATTGTACTGTAGTAGAGCTCCCCCCCTACTCTGTGATCTCATCTGCAATGACACTGTTTTGAAATAAGATCACATTCTGAGGTATTGGAGATTAGGACTTCAACACATCTTCTTGGTGGATACAACTCAGCCCATAATAGGCTGCCCCTTGGCCCCTCTAAAATATGTCCTTCCCACATGCAAAATACGTGCATCTCATCCCAACTTCCCCAGAAGTCTTAACTCATGCCAGCACCAACTGTAAGTCCAATTAGAGGACACAATTTAACCTGTAACACTGACCGCACACTTCCTTCTCAGAGTTCTCCTGGAAGTCTCTGACAGAAGGTTCTTCTCAACATGGGCAGCATCAAAGCTACGATGTAGGCCCTGACCTCTTTTCTGCTTTGGGTTTGTTGTGGGGAGTGAGCTTTGATGGAAGACGGGGAGAATGTGCCTTTCTCTCAAAGCTGGTGGGGGATGGGTAGACAGCTCTGATGGGTCTCCTTACCTCATGCCTCCAGGTATGTGAACACACTCCTCAAACTCATCCCGCTGGTGCTGGGATTGCAAGATCAACTGCGACAGGCAGTGCAGAATGGGGACATGGAGACCTCCCATGGCATCTGTCGCATTGCTGTGGCCCTGGGCGAGAACCACTCCCGGTGAGCAGTTGGGCAGCTGGGGGTGGGATAGCAGGGACCTCTCAGAGGTGTGGTTTTGGAGCCCTGTTGGGGGAGGGGGAATGACCTTACTATACCTCCTCCTTCCAAGGGCCTTGCTGGACCAAGTGGAGCACTGGCAGAGCTTCCTGGCCCTTGTCAACATGATTATGTTCTGCACCGGCATCCCTGGCCACTATCCTGTCAATGAGACCACCAGTTCCCTGACCCTCACCTTCTGGTACACGTTGCAGGTGTGTCTATGTGACCTCTAGTAGAATTGGGCTGTAATGACAGAAGGTAGATCATGGGCTTCTGGGCCTGGTGCTGAGGTGGCTAACTTTCTTCCCTGGCTCTCTCAGGATGACATTCTGTCCTTTGAGGCAGAGAAGCAGGCTGTGTACCAGCAGGTGTACCGGCCGGTCTACTTCCAGCTGGTGGATGTGCTTCTGCACAAGGCCCAGTTTCCTTCTGATGAGGAATATGGATTCTGGTCCTCAGATGAGAAGGAGCAGTTCCGAATTTACAGGTGATGGTAGCAGGCCAATCCTACCTCTAAATAGAGTCCTGAAATAATGAAGGCAATGAGGGGAGGAGCCCAAGACCAGGCCTCTTGAATCCTGAGGCTCCTTTCTCTATTCTCTAGGCACTTTTGCAGTTGTGAGGGAGCTGGGGTGGGCTCCTGGGCTTGGGAGCAGAATCCGGGCAGTGTATAAGGTCTTCGTCTACTTCTTAGGGTGGACATCTCAGATACGCTCATGTATGTGTATGAGATGCTGGGGGCCGAGCTGCTCAGCAACCTCTATGACAAGCTGGGCCGTTTGCTCACCAGCTCAGAGGAGCCCTACTCCTGGCAGGTACCTCCCAAGCCTGATTCCCTGAGCCCTCCCAGAACTGTCACACCCTCCTCCTCAGCCAAGCCAGTGGCACCCTCTTTCCTCAGCACACAGAGGCCCTGCTCTATGGCTTCCAATCCATCGCAGAGACCATCGATGTCAATTATTCTGATGTGGTGCCTGGGCTCATTGGCCTCATTCCACGGATCAGCATCAGCAACGTGCAGCTGGCGGATACTGTCATGTTCACCATTGGTGAGACCTGGCACACACCCATGAGCACATTTCCAGAGCCACAGGCACCCCATCCCCAGCTATAGTTGGCCTGCTGGTTCCTGTCCAAAATGGGAGAGACACACATGCCCACACACACAATCAGCATTGCAGCCAACTGGCTGTCCTGGCACATCTAGGGGTCCTTCCTACAGTGTTCCGAGCTGCAATTCAGTGAAGCTAGTTTGCTGTCAATGGAACAGCAGTGCTAGACCTCTTCTGAGTAGCTTCTTCCTGCTTCTCAGCTATAAGGCTCCTGTTTGAGCATGTGCATGCATATTTGCCTATTCAGCTCTAGGGCTGTAATTTGATCTGCCAGAAGCTCTGCCTGCCTCTCAGGGACATGGTACAAAGCCAGCCTGGCCTGCCTCAGATATCCTCCCCTCTCCCTTCTTCCCCCAGGAGCTCTGTCTGAATGGCTGGCTGACCACCCCGTCATGATCAACAGCGTTCTGCCCCTCGTACTGCATGCCCTAGGCAATCCTGAGCTCTCTGTCTCTTCAGTGTCCACCCTCAAGAAGATCTGCCGAGAATGCAAGTATGACCTGCCACCCTATGCTGCTAACATTGTGGCTGTCTCCCAGGTATGTGTGGGCTAGGGTTGGGCTGGGTCTCAGGGCACACTGCACTGTGCTGATACCAAATTCCTTCTGTTTATCTCCAGGATGTGTTGATGAAACAGATCCACAAGGTGAGCCCAGAAGTTTCTAGGGGGTCCTTGGGGATATTATGGGAATCTGCAGAAATCCTCTTCTGCCTTTTCCTACCCCTTGTCTTTTATTCTCTCTTCTTGGAAGCTTCCCCAAGAGGTTTATTCTTCCTACCCACATCCAGATGTATCCAGGATTGACTTTCCATGTTCTGCCCCACAGACAAGCCAGTGCATGTGGCTGATGCAGGCACTGGGCTTCCTGCTGTCAGCCCTGCAGGTGGAGGAGATCCTTAAGAACCTGCACTCCCTTATCTCACCCTATATCCAGCAGCTGGAGAAGCTGGCAGAGGAGATAGTGAGTGAGCTGGTGTGTGTGTGTGTGTGTGTGTGTGTGTGTGTGGCCAGAAGGCAGGGGTGGGTTGCCCTTTGTGTGGGCTATGGCTGTTGGGGAGTGGGGTTGGAGTTGACAGTCAGGGCTGGGGTCCGGGGGCCAAGCTGGGCCACAGAGATCCAGAGCTTGGTTTGATTCTCCCCATAGCCTAATCCTTCCAACAAACTGGCCATTGTCCACATCTTGGGGCTTCTCTCCAACCTCTTCACCACGCTGGATGTCAGTCATCATGAGGATGAACATGAAGGCCCTGAGCTCCGGAAGCTGCCAGTGCCACAGGGACCCAACCCCGTGGGTGATGTTGCCATTGCCCTCCACCCCCAACACACACACACACACACACACACACACACACACACACACACTACCACATACCCTGTGGGAATATCATTGTTACTCCCCAACTTTATGGATAATATTGTCATGGTTCCCTTGGCCCCATGGGGCATGATGCATTTGGTGTGTTGACCCTGTGAATGACCTTATCATTGTGCCTCATTCTGTAGGGAGTGATATCATTGTGTCATCCAACCCTGTGGGTGATATTTGTCTTTGTCCCCAGCCCAACCAGGGTGATGTCATTGTGGTTCCTCCATCTCATAGGAGACATTGACATTATCCTTCAACCCCATAAATGATGTAATTATGGGTTCCTGTTTGACCCCCAGTTCCAGGGGGTCTTCTACTTGGCTACTCACCATCCCCTATGGGCACTGGGGATGCTTACATGCTCCACGTGTAATAATTCTTGCCTTCGACTTGCTCCCAGTCTAGAGGAAACATACATAAACAGATTGTCACAAAGCAGTGTGATAAGTACTGTGATAAGCTCAGGCACAGGGGGTTGGGGTGACCACTTACAAGCTGTTTGATCTGGAGCAAGGCTCAGCTTCCCATTCAAAACTATGAACATCAGACTACCTGGCTTGCTTATCTCAATAGAATGATGCTGGGTAGCATATGTGGTCTTGAGTAAAATTTTGTATAAATGTGAGACACTGCTTGGATTATTGTTCCCAGGGTTTCTCCTGGAGAAAAGGGAGCCACAGTATCCTAGCTTCTCTCTTCAGCTCTCCACCTTAGTTTCAGTTGCCCTTTTGGCTCTAGACCAAAGTTGGGCTAGCGTCCTCCTACAGAGCCCCTTCTCCTTCCGTGGTAGTCATTGTCCTGCCTTCCCTTACCTCCCAGGACCTCAGTCTGCTCTCTGCTCCTCCGTAAGTTGCCATATCTGTGCATCCCTTGGGGCTCTGCACCCTAAGCCTGTTTGAATGACACAGCATCTCCACTTCAGGGGCTAACCCATAGGCTTTTGATACTGAAAGGATTTTTCTGAGCACAAATGGATAGGGAGTGATTTTTCTTAAAAGTTACAAAGTTTTAATAATCTTCTGAAGCCTTCATAATATCCCTGCTTTGCACTTTGAGGCTTCCTCTAAAATGATCCCTAGAATTCAGGATATCCTCTTTATTCATGGGGGATTCAACACACCACTCCTTCCCCCAAGGTCCCATCCATTGAGTCCTCAACATGCAGTCTGGAGTAATAGGTTTGAACTTCTGGCCAACTTTGTACTACCGGGTCCTTCTGGGGTAGGTGAGAGTGGTGGTGGGGCACCTCACTTCTTCTGTGTCTTCAGGTGGTTGTGGTGTTGCAGCAGGTCTTCCAGCTTATCCAGAAGGTGCTGAGCAAATGGCTGAATGATGCCCAAGTGGTGGAGGTGAGCCTCAATCCTTGCTCTCTGCCCCCATCGTGACTTTGCTTAGATACGGAGCAGGATGAAGGTGTTGCTGCCCCATCTTGGCTTACAGTGGTCTGGAGAAAATAAAGGAGGTGAATCCTGCCTCACAGACACAAGGAATGTTTTGGGAAGACATTCAGAACTTTCCAATATCACAGGAAGTCCTTGACCAAAGAACTATGATGTTGGGGCTGAGTGACAGTCAGGGATCCACCTTGTAATCAGAGACCTGCCTTTGGTCCGTTTTCAATTCAGGATTCTCTTACTATTGCTGCTCTCTGAGAGGAAATGGTGGAGATGTAAGTAGCAAGACTTGAGTTACAAAGTTCCATCCCGTGCTCCTCTGAGAAGGCCTTTTGGCCTGCTGCCTTTCAGGGTGAGGGTCAGGCTTGTTTACCTCTCTTGATTCGCAGGGCCAGGCCAGGCCTTATAGGTAAGGGTCCCACCTTAGGCCTCCTCTGTGCAGAGCCTCAGTTGTGTTCTGGGTGATTGTGACCTGCTAACCAGGACCCCTTTGCTGTCTTCCTTTTTTCTTTTTTTTTTTTAAACGAAATATATTTGACGGTTAACATTGTATAAATTTAAGGTGTACAGCATGTTGATTTGACACATTTATGGATTATAATATGATTGCCATTGTATGATAATTAGAATCCCTATCACATCACATAATTATACTTCTTTTTAGGGGTTGGAATAATTGAGATCTAGTCTCTTGGCAGGTTTGATGATCATAATACCGTTGTCTATTTCCTGGGCCCCTTTGCTTCTTTCCCAAGGCGGTGTGCGCTATCTTTGAGAAGTCTGTTAAGACACTGCTGGATGACTTTGCCCCCATGGTGCCACAGCTGTGTGAGATGCTGGGTCGGATGTACAGCACCATCCCCCAGGCCTCTGCTCTTGACCTCACTCGACAGGTGGGCCTTCTGATTGAGGCAGCAGTGTTTTAAATTTCATCCTAGTTAGAGGTCTGACCCAGGGATGGGGTGGTGGGTAGAGTGGGGTGGATGGCTGTCCTGGCAGGGATCCTGACCTGCATTCTAGGGATGCTGGCCAGTTCTTGGTGAGACACGGCCTCAGCTGACCAGCATTCCCTGCTTTGTTGTAGCTGGTCCACATCTTTGCTCATGAACCTGCCCACTTTCCCCCAATCGAGGCCCTCTTCCTGCTCGTCACCTCCATCACACTCACTCTCTTCCAACAAGGTAGGTCCTGACCAGGGTCCCTGCTGTTGCCGCCACTGCCACCACTGCCACTGCCTCTGCTTCCCCGATTGGGGAGCCAAAGCTGCCCACTCTGTTCTCCTCTGTCCCCTGAGTTGCACATGGGACTTGGTGGGAAACTTGGGGGATCAAGCACAGCACAATTGTCACCCTCCAAGTAGTGACACCGTAGGTTGAAGTGGATAAGAGAGTGAATGATGTCTTCTACTGGCCTGCTGGACTTAGGGCCAGTCTTGATGTGGGGGGAGATGGCGCCAGAGCTCTGAGGGACTTGGGACACTAGGCTGGCTCCTTTTCTTTGGGATATAATGAAAAGTGGAAAGAGCATGGGCTTTGGAGTCAGATAGACCTAGATTCTAAGCTCATCACCACCAACTAGTTGTGTGACCTTGGGCAAGTCACTTACCTTTGCGGAGCCTTTGTTTCCATGTCTGTGAAATAGAGATTTCGTGTACTTGATAGGATTGTTATAGGTATGAAAGCAGTGTCTCTTGGTCCCCTGGCTTGGGGTTTTTGCACATGAAGTACTCAGGGAGTTCTGGTTCCTTTCCCTGCATCGGGGCTTATTCCTTTTTAGGCCCAAAGCTTTTGGCTGTGGTCCCAGCTCCCCGTTCTCTGTGGCCCTCTGCCTGAGAGTGCTGGGAGCAGGGGGCTCTAGGCTTCCCCTGCTGTCTAACCCAGGCTTCTAACTTGGAAAAGAAACAGCGCTGCTCCACCAGCCTCATGACTCTTGTCTGGATTTGTGGTTGCAGGTTTGAGGCTTACCAGGGGTTTCAGCTGGAGCCAGAGCGCTCTCTGCTGATGTCATCATTATGTGGTCCCATGATGCTGGCCTCTGCTCCAGTGGCCCATGGGTAGGTGCAAAGCGAGCAGAAACTTGAGCCAGAAACCAAGTGTGGCCACCCTTAAATCTTTAACTCCACCTCTCCCACTTCTTGCATCCAGTCAGGGGCAAATCTAGGTGGTCCTGACTCCTGATTATCCTGCAGACCGCCCACCTCTCTCCCCTCCCTCCATGACCACACCTCAATGTCCGGGTTGCCCCAATAGTCCTCTAACTGGTTTTCCTGACATCTGCCCTTCCCTGCAGTCCATTCTGCATCCTGCAGTTGTAATGTTCTTTAGAAAACACACATCTGAGTATTTTCCCTCTCTGGCCGGAAACCCTTTCGTTGGCTGTCCATTGCCTCAGGTTCTCACCCTGCTCCCACCCACATGGTGCAGCTCCTGCATACTCCTCAGTGTCTTCTGCCAGTGTCCCTGAGACACCAGCAGTCTAGCCACACCGACCTCTCCCTTTGATGTCCCATTTGATCCTCTAACTGGAATGCCCTGTGCCCTTTACTGGGTGAGCTCTTACTCCTCCATGCCTTACTTATGCATCAGTCCTAGAAGCTTCTCTGGGGCAGAACTAGGTGCTTCTGACTTTATGCTGAAACTGCATCATGTACACACTGCTGATATAGTACCAATCATACTCAATAATCAGCTTTCATGTGTGTGTCTCTCTCCCTAGACTAAGCCCCTCAAGGGCAGGGTCGAGCCTCTTCTCTCTGCAGCCTCAGTGCCCAGAACAAGGCCAGCATAGAGTAGGTATCAGACACTATTGAAGAAAGGAGGGTAAGGTCTCCCTGACCTCGGAACCTTTCTTCCTCACTATCTGGGGCCAGCCACTAGCAGGGTGGCTGCCGAATGTCAAACATGCTGTCTGTAGGGGGACCCTGGCATAGGGCATGGGCCTCACTCTCCAGGACCTGAGTAAATCAGGGCTCAGATGTGAAAGAGATGGGCTTTATCAGTGGCTCCTCATAGCCTGGAAAAGGAAGCATGGAAGAGATAATTATCTACTTTACAGTTGGGGAAACTGGGCATTTGTGGCTTGCACAAGATCACACGGCTCCTTAGTGGTGTATCAGGCAGATGTTCGTGCAGCGCCTCCTCCTGAAAGGGGAACAGCCCAGGAGCTCTAGACACATGCCTTGTCCTTGCCACAGGTGTCAACAGAACTGGAGGCAGAGTAGTGTCCAAAATCAATCATACTTGCTGGGCTTGCTGGTTGTCTTGCAGGACAGGACGGCCCCCTTACCTGTTATGCTGTCCTGGTCTTGCCATTCCGTTCTCAGCCTCTGCCCTCCCACTGCACCATGGGGTGACATGTTGACTGGTTTCCCTCTTTCTCTGTGTGTCCAGATGGTGGGAGCTGGTTTTCAGCCCTGAGCCTGGCTCTCTGCTCAGTCGGTGTCCATGTGGAGGGGCTTTGCTGGGTGGGGCTCTCATTTTTGGCCTCATGATACAGTTTCCTCCCCGAGGCCCCGCTGGTGGCTTGCCCAGCCATCCCCACAGCATATTGGACTCTGCCCTAGCCAAGGAGGAGTCCTCTGGTTTAAGTGGACCCCAGGGAGTCCTTCCCTTGGCCAGACCAAGAGCCCTAAGGCCATGGAAGTGAGGGGGCACCTGCTCAGGCCCTGATACCCTGGCCTTTCCAGGGCCTTCAGCTAGGCCCCCAAGGGAGTTACCAAGGACTAACCTCTCGCCATCCCTGCCCTCCTCTTTGATGGCTAGTGTTGGGGAAATGTACTAGAAGGCAGTGTAGGGCCACCCCAGCCAGCCAGAGGCCGCAGCAAGAGTGGGGGTTGTTTCTTCAGCTCTGTGGAGTCCAACATTGCTTCAGCACCAAAGGCTCACTGGGGGGACTGGCCTGAGGAGGAGTGGGGAGTAGGTGGAAGGACCCCTGGGAGGGAGCTGGGGCAGGCCCGTCCTTCACTTTGCCGTCTCTTTCTGTTGGGCTTCTCCCAGTTCATGGTTTTTGTATGTTTTGTTTCTTTATCTTGCTTCCTGCTGCTCATGTGCCCCCACGCTGTCTCCCTGCAGGCTCTCAGTCCCACATAACTATATGAGGTTGAGTTGCTGTTTGTATAATTTTTTCTTAAGTTCCATCTTTATTATATTTTAGGGCCCAGGGATCATCCTGATATTGTTGATTCATTTATGCAACTCCTGGCACAGGTGTGTTTTAGTTTTATTCATTCACGTTCTGTTCTCTCTCTTTCTCTTTCTCTTATGTTGAAATTCAATTTAAGCCTATTTTTAGCTTTCTGTTGACAAATTTTTTTTCTGTTCAGTTGAATAGAGTTTCTTCATCTGTTTCCGTGGAAGTTGACAACCCAACATCCTCCTTTAGTGCCCCTTTGCCTCAACTAGCTCATTCTTCCACCAAGACCAGGGAGAGGCGATCCCAAAGGGAGGGAGCTGGGCTGGCCTGGGCGGGGGAGGGGGAGTAATTGTGCCCAGCAGCTCCTTCGTAGCTGGGGTGCCCTTGAAGTTCAGGGGTGAGATCGGAGTTGAAGGGCCTGGGGTTCATTGTCCCGTGCTCCTGCCGGGGAACTGCCTGCCTCAGTGCCCCCACCCCCCCACCTGCTCTGGAGAGGTGGCTGGGAGGAGCTCCGAAGGGAGGGGCCAAAGGTGAATGTGCTGGGGTGGAGCCCGGAGTTGGGCTTCAGGTTGTACTGCTGTTGGGAGGTGGGGTGCTGGCTCCACTGTGAGGCTGCGTTGGGATGTGTTTGTGTTTGGTGCATGTGTAAGTGGGTTGGACCTTATTCGTATGTTTTCAGTTTAGTTTGGTTTGGAAACAAATCACATAGCTGCTGTAAGTAGTATGTGTGTTGTGTCGGGAAAAATATGTAGTTGAAGTGTGGGCACGTGCACTGATGCATGTTGTATGTTGGTGTGCATTAGGCATTGATGGGTTTTGAAGCAGTGTCATGTGTTGGAGGTGTGTGTGTGGGGCTGTGAGAGCGTATTTGGGGGAGGGAGTGTATGTTGTGGTGTCGATATGTCTGACATACAGGGAATGTGTGTTGTGGAAGATACATGTGGTGAGCTGTGGGGACATGGGGCTAGTGTGGGGACCATGGTGGGGATCCTGTGGGTTGGAGTAAATGATGTGTTCCTTCGCTTAATCAGTCCACAAATACTTAGTGTGTGATACACGTCTGGTGCTCTGCCAGGTGCTGAGGGTATAATGGTAAACAAAAACAGGCATAGTTCTTACTCTCTTGGAACTTACAGTATGGTGGGGGGGTGAGGCGGAGGAGGAGGGGGGAATAGGGAGTGTGTTCTGGGCCTGGATAGACATGTGTATGGGTAACTGAGGGTGCGTCCTTGGGGGTGTGGGCGTTTGTGTGTGTGTGTGTGGATGGGTGTGTTAGGAGGGTACATGTGCTAGAGGACTGGGTAGCTTGAAAGTGTGGGCATGTGGACATGACTGGGGAATGTGGGGCGTTTGAGGGATGTGAATAGGTAGCAGGGTGTGTTGCAAATGTGAGAAAGTATGTGTAAGGGATGTGATAGAGGTGTGTTTGAGGGTAAGTAGGGTGTTTCCAGAGAGGGTGAGTGTGGGGGTGCTTGCACATGAACGGGAGTGGAAGGTATGTGAGGGGCTGGAGGGTTGGGGGTCTACATGGTATGTGTTGGGGGGCTGGTGGGGAGCAGCTGTGTTTGATAACTGCTGGAGCTGTGCAGAGCATCTCCTGTGACCTGAGGATGTGCCAGTCGTGTCCTAGTACCACTTGGGGTGGGCTTTCTGCCCCTTGTACTCATTCCCCCCACATGGCAGCACTGACTCCTGAGCTGGGTGTGGCTGAGAAGGGCCTGGACTCAGGGTATCCCGGTTGAATGGTGGGGCCATGGCTCCAAGGCTCCGACCCTACTTTTCCTCCTCCTAAGCTGGAGGGTGTCTGAAGAATGCAGGTGGGATGTGGGGGCTGTTGGACTGGGCTCCACATCCAGCTGCCATCTCTTCTTTCTGCTGTCCTGTTAACAAATCCAGGGGGCTTTGACTGCCTCTGAATCAAAGCAGTCACTGCTGGCTACCTGGAGCCTGCAGGAGGTCTGGCCTTGATGGAGGGGAAAATAAAAGCGTTTGCTTAGGGAGTGACTTGGGACCCAAGCTTTCTGTATTGTGATCACCCCCTTAACCTCTCACACACACCTGTGCATTCATGTACACATACATGTACGTAGCATCCCCTGGCTGTTCCCTTCCTGACTGAACTGTGGGGTGGTTTGGGTCCCCCAGAGATGGCTGGGTGGCTGATTTTGGCAGCCTGTACCTATGGTGCGTGAAGTTGGGGCCTGGGGTGGCAGGTGAGTGGTGGGGAGGGGGGATGGTCCTTGGAGCTGGTTGGGGCTGGGCTTACCAGCTCCACCTCCTGCAGGCTCTGAAGCGGAAGCCAGATCTGTTCCTGTGTGAACGATTGGATGTCAAAGCTGTGTTCCAGTGTGGTAAGTGGGGCCAGATGGATAGGAGGGCCTGGGTCCCCCTTAGGAGGATCCTTAAGCCCCTCCTGATCTGCCTCTGCCTCTCCTACAGCTGTGTTGGCCCTCAAGTTCCCTGAGGCACCTACTGTCAAGGCCTCCTGTGGCTTCTTTGTGAGTCCCATGCTGAGTCCTGACCCCCCACCCCCACCCCCCGCACCCCAGCCCCTATTTGCAGTCCTGCCCCGGACTCCAGAGTGTAGGGGTATGGTGTGCAAGTCTTGTCCCCAGGGAGAGTGGGGAAAGAGCTGAGGCTGACAGTCCTCTCCATCCTCCGTAGACAGAGCTGCTGCCTCGGTGTGGGGAAGTAGAACCTGTGGGGAAAGTGGTACAGGAGGATGGCCGTGTGCTGCTCGTAGCAGTGCTGGAGGTGAGATGCAGCCGGTGTTTGATGGGGCTTTGATGGGGGTGGAGTGGCCCTCACTCCTGAGGCAGCTGCCCTCTGGGAAGCTTGAGCCTTTGGTTCCCTAAGCTGACTCTGTTTCTTCAGCAGTTAAATGGCTGACAGTTGTTAGGGTTGCTGTGAGGATCAGCTGGCTCTCAGAAAACAGCACTTACCATGTGCAGCTTGGCTGAGAAACTGTCTGGGAGTGGGTGGCGCATGGCTAGGCACCCTTGCTGCAAAAGGGGCAAGGCCCTGGTGTGCTGAGAACCCGTCTCCCTCAGGCCATTGGGGGCCAGGCCTCCCGCAGCCTCATGGACTGCTTTGCCGACATCCTATTTGCTCTGAACAAACACTGCTTCAGCCTCCTGAGCATGTGGATCAAGGAGGCACTACAGCCACCTGGTTTTCCCTCCGCGCGCCTCAGCCCTGAACAGAAGGACACCTTCAGCCAGCAGATCCTTCGGTGAGCAGAGCCGGCGGCACTTGGGCTCTGGTCCAGAGGAGAGGGTGGTGGTGGTGGACGGTACTAACCTGCTGTCCTTTCCCTTCAGTGAGCGAGTGAACAAGAGGCGGGTGAAGGAGATGGTGAAAGAATTCACACTGCTGTGCCGGGGGCTACATGGCACAGATTATACAGCTGACTACTGAGAGGCGCCCCCGTCCCACCCACACCTCCTCCTCACCCCTCCCGATTCCCAAAGAGTAAACCTGGATCTTCACTGCATTGCTGTCTCTGCTTCCTTTTTTCTGCCACCACCACCTAACTGGGCGAAGGCCTGGGGAAGGATGGGAGGATGTTTGGATCCAGGCCTTATTAGGGAGTTGAGGGGCCAACTTCTAGCTCCTAGAGTGGAAGTGCTCCGCTGTAGCCAAGCCTCCTAGGTTGGAGCCATACATAATACTGCCGTTGCTCTTGGGTTGGGGTGGGCCTGCAGTAGTATCAGCAACCTCCCCACGGCCCACTGCCACACATTAAATTAGTCCCAGCATTCATGCATGCATACATTTATTTAATCAGCACTGCTGAGTATTAGCCCTCTAGTTCTGCCTTGCTTTGTTCTGTCTGAACAAGGGCTGATCTAGTCCATAGCTACCATGTTTAGCTGGGAGAATGGGACCAGTGAGGGAAGGCTGCTTGGAGGAACTTTCACTTCTGATGGGACTGGAAGGTTTGCCAGGTAGAGGACTTGGGGCTTTCAGCTGCAAGTGAGGTGGGGTGGGGTCCAACTAGGAGGGAAGAAATGGAGAGTGGTTTTAAGTCCCAGGATAGGTTTCTTGTATGGGGTTATGGAGGCCACACTTGCACAAGGTTGAGGAAAGGTATAGAAAGTGGAGCTGAGCATGTGTAGGAGGAAGCATGGCAGGCCCCTGAGGAAGAGGAATGCAGGGCCTCAAGCTGTTTTCACACCTGGAGCTTCCCACCTCTGTGCTACCTGACCAAATCTTGATGGTCAGGGCTCAGTCAGGACCAGGGACAGCTCCCCAGCGGCTGTTGCTCTCCTCCCTTGGTAGGTGTCCCTTACTTTCTGTCTCTCAGCCATAGTTTCACCCCTGCTGCCTCTTAGACACCCCAGGCTTCCCCTCAGTAAGATCTGAAGAGCAGGACTTGGATCTCCCCATTTCCATTCCTGAACCTTGGGTCTCCTTGGAGGTGATAGAACTGGTTACCCCCCTGTTCATCTCACTCCTTTCCCTGTCCTTTTCCCAATCTTTGCATGAATTCTGTGTCTTCCATTCTACATCTCTCTTCGATCTCTCCCAATGCCAGCCAGCATCCATCCCCCTTACATGTACCATCCCCTGAGGCCACTCTGTTCCTCTTCCTCTATCCCTCCTCAGTCCCATTCTCACATTATTACATTCACAATTCGTATTACATTCATAATTCAAAATTACATTCATAATTTCTCATTTCTGGAGTATGTGGGGATGCTTCTTTTGGTCCTTTTCTCCCACTGCATGGTGTCTAGGTGTCTTCTTCCTCCCCCATCCCCCATGATCAAATGTAGCATATATAAGCTAAGAGATTGAGGGGGCTAAAGCCTAGTTCCTGAAGTCAGACCTGGTTTTGATATTGATTGTGCCACTGATTTGCTGTGTCTTACCAGAACTTCAGTTTCCTCATCTGTAAAATGGGACATTTTTTTTTTTTTAAGTACTCTACACCCACCATGGGGCTCAAACTCACAACCCTGAGATCAATAGTTGCACACTCTACCAACTGGGTAGAGCCAGCCAAGCACTCCTGGGACAATTCTGACTCCAAAGACTGTAAATGCTAAGAATGTAGTGCCTGAACAGTAAGTGCTCAATATTTGCCTGATTGACAGACTGCTGTGAGGATAATAGCAAATGCTTTCAGTGTATATGATATGCAAAGGACTACTTCATAAAGTTTTATATCTAAATTCATTTGATCCAGCAATCCTATCAGGAGTGCTATTGTTACAACCCCCATCTTGGGGATGAGGAAACAGTGACAGACACGTTGAGTAAGAAGTAATGGCAGAGCACAGTATTCAAACCCAGACAGCCCGGCACCTGAGTTGAAAATTAGGCAATGCCACCTCCCAAATGATAGAATGCACATGAAGTTCTGCTCAAACTGGAGTATTTTCAGGGAGTTGCTTTTTTTTTTTTTTTTAAGTTTATTTAATCTCTACACCCAACGTGGGGCTCAAACTCACGACCCTGAGATCAGGGGTCGCATGCTGCACCAACTGAGCCTACCAGGCGCCCTTAGGGGTCGGTTTTTCTGAGCTCTGCTGGCGGTTTGGGAACGGAAAGCGAATGCCTGGAGAGGCGGGCCAGGGGAACTACAATACCCACAAGGCCCCGCGCCTTCTGAGGTAGTACCGATTGCCTGGGGCTCTGAGACAGATTATTGGTTCTCTGTGGGCGGCCTAGCGAGGATTGGAGGGCGGGAGCCGTGCTAGTTTGATTGGTAAAACTACCACCAGCCCCGCCTCAAAAACCCGGAAGTAATTCCCTCGTTGGTCCGTGTGTAGTGGTGTAACGGAGAAACGTGAATTTGGAGGGGTGGAGGGATGGTTCAAGGGCTGCGCACTGACTTCCCAGCCCCACCGCCCCCACCAAGTGACTCTGACTGTTTGGGGGCTGCTTTTGAGGACGCGGGGCCTGAGGCTGACCGAGGGAGGTTCCTGCTGCTTTCTGCCACCCAAGCCGTACCTCATGGAGTCTACCTTCAGCAGCCCCGCGGAGGCAGCGCTGCAGCGAGAGGCGGGCGCTGCCGGAGTGCTCACTCCTCTCGCGGACCTGGACCGCGTGTACGAGCTGGAGCGAGTCGCTGGATTTGTCCGCGACCTAGAGTGTCAGCGGGTGAGGGCAGATTGGGGAGGGGTGGCTCACCTCTGGATGGGTCGCCCAGAAGATCGGGATCTTTGTGTAATTTTGTGAGGATGGAGGTGCGGGAGGAGTTGCTCCTCTGGGAGGAGGGGCTTTGAAGGTCCGGTAGGGACTCTTGGAAGGTTTTCCTTAAGAGGCTCTCGGTGGAGGAGAGGTTGTTCATGACTCCATGGCTTATGCTTACAGGTGGCCTTGCAGTTCCCTGACCAGCTATTGGGAGATGCTGGGCCCGTGGCTGCACGACTGGAGGAGACCACAGGGTCGAAGATGTTCATTCTGGGCGACACAGCTTACGGCAGGTGTGAATTTGAGCTTGAAGATTGAGGGTGGTGTAGGTCTACTGATGCAGGGCTCATGGTGTTTTCCCCCTAGGACAGTGTCTGCCCCCAGCGGCTATGTTTTCCCTTGATGATCATTCCTCCTCTCCTGATACTTCCTCCCCTCAATGACAGTGTCTTCTTTTCATAACATTATTTTCTTCAATGACCACATTTCCCATGAAAGACAGCTTTTCCTGATGAGAACTCTTCTCACTAATGGTATCTTTTCTGCAGCTGCTGTGTGGATGTACTGGGTGCTGAGCAAGCTGGAGCTCAGGCCCTTGTACATTTTGGCCCTGCCTGCTTAAGCCCTCCAGCTCGCCCACTGCCTGTGGCCTTCGTCCTTGGTCAACGTTCTGTGCAGTTGGAGCTCTGCGCCAAGGCCTTTGAGGCCCAGAACCCAGACCCCAAAACGCCTGTGGTGCTGCTAAGTGAGCCAGCCTGTGCCCATGCCCTGGGTGAGCGTTTTTGCCTGTGCATGCAGGAAGGGTGGACCAACTGCTTAGTGCCTTGATAGCCCCATTTCAGTACATTCCTGTAGAGCTCTCGATATGGGCTTGATCCCATTCTTTGCTTTTGGGTCACATTCAGCCTTTTGGGGATGAAGGGGTTCCTGACACCACCCCTTTCTTCCAGAGGCCTTGGCCACTCTCCTGCGCCCACGGTACCTGGACCTGCTTGTCTCCAGCCCAGCTCTTCCCTTGCCATTGGGTTCCTGCAGTCCAGAACCTGAGCCCCTGGAGCGTTTTGGGCGTCGCTTTCCCCTGGCTCCCGGGAGGTGTCTGGAAGAATATGGTGCCTTTTATGTGGGGGGCTCTGAAGCCAGCACTGACCTTGACCTTGACCCAGACCTGAGCCGGTTGCTCTTGGGCTGGGCACCAGGGCAGCCGTTCTTCACCTGCTGCCCGGACACAGGGCAGACTCAGGATGAAGGTGTCCGGGCTGGACGGCTAAGGGCACGTAGACACTACCTGGTAGAGAGGGCCAGAGATGCCCGGGTGGTGGGGCTGTTGGCAGGTACTTTGGGTGTAGCCCGACACCGTGAAGCATTGTCACACTTGCGGAACCTGGCTCAGGCTGCAGGCAAGCGTAGCTATGTGTTGGCCCTGGGGCGGCCCACACCTCCCAAGCTTGCCAACTTTCCTGAAATGGATGTCTTTGTGCTATTGGCCTGCCCTCTTGGTGCTCTAGCTCCACAGCCTTCTGGTGGCTTCTTCCGGCCTGTATTGGCACCATGTGAGCTGGAGGCTGCCTGCAACCCTGCCTGGCCACCTTCAGGCTTGGCTCCCTACCTCACACATTACGCGGATTTATTGCCTGGTGAGTGGTGGGGTACTGCCTGAGCTGGAACCACTTGGGGCATGGAATTGGGCCGGTATGGATCCTCTTTCTCCCTCCAGGCTCTCCCTTCCACGTGCCCCTCCCACCACCTGACTCAGAACTGTGGGACACCCCAGATGTGTCACTCATTACTGGGGAACTCCGACCCCCACCTGCCTGGAAGCCATCAAATGATCCTGGATGCTTGGCCCTGACCTTGCGGCCCCAGCTGGAGCTGGCTGAGAGCAGCCCTGCAGGTAAGTGTGCCAAGTCTCTGCTCCTAGCTGAACTCTTTCCCCAAATTCAGCCCACTTGGCCTCAGTCCCCTCTCTCTGCAGCTTCATTCCTTAGTTCCCGGAGCTGGCAGGGGCTGCAACCCCGTCTGGGTCAGACACCGGCGACAGGAGCTGTGAGTGGAAGACGAGGGATTGCCATCGCCTATGAGGATGAAGGAGGCAGCTGATACCATGTGGGGCCAGAGACACAGATGGGCTGAAGAATTGCTGCAAAGACCTTTAATACTCCCTGCATCAACCCTACTCCTCTGCTTGGATCCTTGATGCAGGGAAGGACAGACAGCCCCTCACTGAAGAAGGGGACCCAGCTCTGTCCTGTTGTGGCACTGGCACGAGGCTTAGCATATAGCAGTTTAATAAATGTCTTTTGAACTGATGGGGACTGACTTGGGGTTTCCTGAAGTCTTATGGGTCCATCTGTCCTCCTGGGAACAGTCCAGGACCTCTGGCCAGTCCCAGTTTCTGGTGTGCAATTGAGGTTCTACCCTTGTCAAAGGATCCAGGTGGTCTAGACCAGGATTTCTCAACTTTGGTACTATTGACAAATTTGGGTCAGATAATTCGTTGCTGTGAGGGGCTATCCTTACGTTATAGGATGTTTAGCACTATCTCTGGCTTCTGCCCACTGGATGCCCCTAACATACCCTTATTCAATTGTGATAACCAAAAATGCCTCCAGACATTGACAAATGTCTCCTGTGGGGCAAAACTGTCCCTCGCTGAGAACCACTGGTCTAGACCTGTGTTGTCCAATAAAGCAACCGCTAGACACGTATGGCTATTTAAACATGAACTTAAACTAGTTAAAATTAAAAACTCAGTTTCTTAGGGTGCCTGGCTGGCTCAGTCAGAAGAGCATGAGACTCTTGATCTCTCAGGGTTGTGAGTTCGAGCCTTGTGTTGAGTGTAGAGATTACTAAAAATAAACTTTAAAGCTAAGTAAAATAAATAGGGGCACCGGGGTGGCTTAGTCAGTTAAGCATCCTGCTTTAGCTCAAGTCATGATCTCACAGTTCATGGGTTCGAGCCCCACATGGGGCTCTGTGCTGACAGCTCAGAGCCTGGAGCCTATTTCAGATTCTGTGTGTCTGTGTCTGCCCCTCCCTGACTCATGCTCTGACTCCCTCTCTCTCTCTCAAAAATAAATAAACCTTAAAAAAAAACAAATTAAAAAAATAAAAATAAAAGTAAGTAAAATAAATAAAAATGCAGTTTTTATTTATTTATAACAAGCATATTATAAAACATTATATAGGGGCACCTGGGTGGCTCAGTCGGCTAGGTGTCTGACTTTGGCTTAGGTCGTGATCTCACGGCTTGTGGGTTTGAGCCCCATGTCAGGCTCTGTGCTGACAGCTCAGAGCCTGGAGGCTGCACATTTTGTGTCTCCATCTCTCTCTGCCTCTCCCCAATTTGTGCTGTGTCTCTGTCAAAAATGAATAAACATTAAAAAAATAGAATATTATATAAAAACAAGTACATTTCAGTGCTTATTTAGTCACATGAGAGGACAGTGCAGCTACAGGACATTTCCATTATTGCAGGAAGTTCTTTTGGACAGTGCTGGTCTACAATGACTAAATTGTTTCTCCGGGAAATCACAGAAACTTGAATAAACTAGATAATTTTTCTCCTGTTTATTTTTATTCGTCAAACACTACAGGTCCTGAAGGTCTGAATTGTATTTGACTGGATTCCTGTCCTCATAGTGGAATTGGGAAGAGAGGCAGTTAAGTAAGCAATTGCCACACAGTGAAACAGTACCGTCTATAAGGAGGGAAGCCCCTGTGGGCAGTTCTTCATTCCCCACATTTGCAGAGAAGCGTGGCATGCTGGCATTGTCCAAAGTTAGTTAAAGAAGCAGGTGAACAGGGAGATGAGGTCCTTGCTCTCAGGGAGTGCCTGGTCTACTGGTAGAGGCAGATCTGTAAAAGGACCATGGCAATAGACAAGGTGGGCACCAATCGTGTATTCTACAAATAATTATGGAGTGTGCTAGGCATTGGGAATACAGCAGTAAGCTCAAAAACCCTTTCATACTGCTTACATTCTCATGGGGCGG